TTCACGTAAAACTGTGTTTCCTAGCCTGAAATGTCAGTCATCTCCCGCCCGGGGATTAGGCTGAGGGCGGAAGCTGACGGCATGTGACGGACATCTCAGGCTATGTCTTCCTTTATACCTATAATTACATTTACAACTAGTAGTTTATCAAAGATTATGAGGGTGCGTTCGACGCCGTCATAGTATATATACCTTAAATATGTGGTTTCACTAGCTGACTTTCAGCCTCTGTCTATTGCTAAAATCAACGTTTTTCATCGACAAACGAGGTTTTACAGACAGATATATCATAGCGTCAAAGTCCATGCCAGTTTAAGAGGTCCCCTGTACAAACTATGATTTGTTGACACCTTGCGTGACAGCGTCAAGCTGCGCCAGTTCCGTAGACTCACAAGTTTAGTAGTACTAAAACATTTACATTTATAGCCTTCAAATTTCGTGCTAAACATTCTCACATTAACTGGTAATGCTAAAGCGAAAGCTAATTTGTAAAACTATATTTTACGAATATTATTTTAAGCTGGAAGGACAAATATCAGCAAACATTTGCAATCGCGTGCTCGTTTATTGTAAACAAACTACGTGCAACTGATCTGAGTATTTTCCCTGATGAATAAAGTAGACAGTATTTATGTAACTTGCCGTTCCTTGGTTCAGGCTCACCCTTATGGATCTTGCCTTAAGAGTACTTTTCCACCGATTCCAAACAATATTCGACCGGATAAAGACTGAGCTACATGTATCTGTCTCGACTGGAACTATTAAATCAACAAATGCAATCAAAACAAAGGCAACCCAAAGTCGTGTTGTTCGTTAACATATAAAGTATAAAACAAAGGACAATTCCCTCAGATTTCGATAAATGCTACCGTCGAAGCGTTTAAATTTACCAAAAATTCAACGCTGAGAGCACAAAATAGCGAAGCCTACGGCGACTAAATGGAAAGAGGTCGAAGAAAGATCCAGTGCAAAGACGAGCTCACATGGCCTGCTTACATGCTCACATGTTCGCCACACGTCTTATCACATGTAATCACATGTCGTACCAGTTTACTGGCCGTGACGTGCCCCTGCAAAACTCACGCGGGGTGGCCATTTTGGTTATACAAAACTTAAGTACCAGAGAGATAATGACGGAGTAACGGCCGAAAAAAAAAGGGGGGAGGAGGGATAAAAATGCATTACAAATAAAAACATAGGATATTTCATCACCCGTCTATCTCCCGCTTGAAGGTGGCGTGAGATCTTAGTTATAGAGTTTAGTTCGCTCACTGACCTTTGGCGAATGAAAACAATAAAGATTTTTATAATAAGATGATTTCCGCACAACATTCGAGCAATAATGGCAAAAATAAAGTTACCAAAAAACCCTCATAGCATGGTAATATTTTTAATAAAGGTAAGAAGAACTTATCGAGACTTAAGATCTCAAGCTGACCCCGCGAGAGAAAATTGAACTTGAAGTTATCCATATTTCAATTAAAATGGACGTTTCCCGTTAGTTAAAACACAATAACACACGCATTAAACATTTTGACGACGTTTGACATTAGCTTTTTCGAGAATATTTTGGGGTTTAATCGCGGAGTCACGTGGAGAAATGAATTAGGGTGAGATGTTTCAAATAGTATTCAAAAAGTTACCGTGTTGTGAGTAGACATTTAGTAAATAATTTTTGCACTTATTTGAGCGGAATCCGTCTTAATAATCTTCATTCGCCAAATAGTCACACGCTCACACGTGACAAAGCTTTACAAACATCGCTCCTGTTTACAAAACGTTTACCGCTCCTATCCCAAAGAATATACACATATCAAAAACTGCCGTTTAAAGACAGGGGGTAGGGAAATTAAAGTTTCATTGAAAAATTCAAATTGAAATAGAGTTACATCATTAAACTTGCGGCTTATGGCGTCGACCGGCTCATGGGTATATGACAAGCGAGGTTAGATATCTACCCTTATCACGCCTTTAGCATATTGAAGAGGTGTTCTTCAATGTTTGATCACTTACAGACTAGTATTAAGCTCCCAATTGTGGAAACTACGTGAATGCATGCGTGATTAGTGTTCCAAACAGAAAAAGAAGTAAGCTTGTGTAGTGATGCGACTAGTCTTGAATTACCATAATCCACTGCAATCAACACTGGTGACTGAGTTTATCTACATCTACTCTATTCAAAAGTGAAACAGTTTCTATAAATGTCTCATGCCGTGTGTTGCGTAACGGTTATTCAAAAGAAAATGAAAGATGATAAAGCAATTAAAATACGAATTTCTCGAGACAATGGATGTGAAACACTGACCTTCACTGTTTAATTCTGCCCACGATGACTTCCTTTCTAGTCTCTTGAGGTTATCCTGCTGTCGTAGAAGTAAGCAAACTGTAGTTGGAACAGTTAATGGTAATGAAACCCTACAAACGTTTAAACACTGCGCATGTTTTTCTGTAACGATTACCTCAGTAGCGGTCAGTTGACTAATCTCCTTACCCAGGTCTC